TAGAGTACATGAAACTTAAAGCATACAATGAAAAAGCTTTAAAAAACTTACTTGATTACTGAGAAGAGAGTCCTAAAAAGCTGAATAAAAATTTCATTGCAATCTTCCAACTCAAAGCAGATGTTGTATGATTTAACCCAAGCTAAATTCTTAAATCAATAAATAAAAACAAATGGTTAATCACATATACATAGAACTAGTACACAAAAGCAACTAATACAATCTAATTTTTACAAGTAGAATTGTTTATAGTAAAGTCTACAAGATTCAATGCACAAAATTACAAATCATTCCAATCTTTAAAGACATGACTGGAGGCAAGTCTCTCAAATTGGAAAGTACTGAATAGTTTAGGAGTTATTACAAATAGACATATACAGATATAAAACTTCAGATGCAGTGAAAATTCACTTTTAGATTAGGAATGAAAGTAAAATATCAAATTATTTTTTCACTTTATACTTTATCTTTTTAAGATAGGAGGAAACCATATTTTCAAAAGAATTTATTAAATAAGTTATGTATAAAACAGTTTCACTTTACATTATCATTTTAAGAATTTGCAACTACATGGAATTATATTCGTTAAATAAAGTATTATTGTTACCTCTAATAAATAAAAGTATCTATTAAACTGTGGACTCTTTGTATCCTCCAAACCTTTTAACTGTCTGGTAATAAAAAGAAATATGTCCTGTTAAAGAAATAAAAAAATGAAAAAGATATTAGCTTAGACACTACTGTCATTTTTGCAATACACTAAGTGCGCATGTACATCTACACATAGATCTATGGATATATAAAAGTAATTACAAACTACAATAAAAAAAGATTCTCTTTATTTGAATGCTGTGGGACAGCCTATTCCATTATTTTAAATGACTGGGAAAGATTAGAACAAACAACACCCTTTGGAAATAAAACTTTAGGTCTTCTCACTTAAGCACACACATTCTTTATCTTAGTACACTACCTTCTACAGCACAGCTTCTGACCACTCACTGTCTACAATTCAGCATGGAAAACTACTATCTTCATTTTTAGGAAGCTTAATGAGTCTTTCCATTACTATTTCCGACATGTAAGCAAGTTGTTTTCAGCCTAGGGTTTTGATTTTGATATGTGACAAAAGGCTATTTGGAACAAATGCCAGGCTAGACCAGAGGACTTGATGATGGTGCTTTATTCCTCAGTAATTTCCTTTAGATGTTTTCATTCATTCAAAACAGCATTAGTATGGTACAAAATGACTTGTTTTGCTGTAATCCTTACAGTAGATGCTCGTAATCTACATGTACTTTAGTTTTTCTATAAAATATACTCATGATAGTTTATTCTATAAACCAGTCACAGTAAGATACAAACAAAAATAACCATAAAATAAAACAATGTATAAAAATTACAAAATAAAGTTATAAAGGGGGGTCATTATTAAAGTATGAATGACTTGAAATTAAACAGTAAGTCACTGCTCTAGTTCAGATAACAAAGGCAGCCACTAAGTGACTCACAGACAGATGGCGTATGTCTCAAGAGGAATAAAGCATGACAACAAACTTCATCACAGTCCTATCAAACTGAAACTTTGTGGACTGTTATTTGCAGAATCTCCCATTTAATATTTTGGCTGATCACAAGTGACTGAAAGTATGCAAAGAGAAAACAAAGAGATGAGAAGGTGATACTCATTGCACTAAAAGGGGGCGATGGCTAGACAGATAAGAGCACTTGCTATTCTTGCAGAGCCTGGGTTTGGTTCCCAGCACCTACATCTGGTAGCTCACAACCACCTGCAATTCACTTTAAAAAATCCGATACCCTCCTATCTCTGCCAGCATCTACATGCAAACAATGAACATAAACTCACGCAGGTACATACATATAAATAGTAAAAGGGCAGTCCAAAAGTTACAATTTCCCTAAGAATTATTCAAAAAGTAGTATAAAAGCAGTTCAATAGATCATTTTAACAACTATTTTTAATTGTTTAGAACCAGCAAAATGGGTTGTTCTGAATATCCAGTATTTACCTGTAAGGGGAAAAGTTATTTCAAGGTATAATATTCTAGTATACTGCTGTTTCACAAACTATCATTAAGCCACTACATATGCTTTTCATCTACCTGACTGGGCTTTCTGGGAGACTAACAGCAAGATTAAATACGAACAGACCACAAGCTCTGATCTTTGCTTTTCAAAGCCTCATTCTGTGCCAGCCACATCTGTAGATGATAAACAAAAACCATGCTCATGTAACAAAATAAAAGTAATGTTATTTTGTAAACATTGTATTTACCTTAAGTTTATCATGGGAAGTATATGGAGCTTCTGGGGCATAGATTCGAAATATATCAGCCAAACAGCATGCTACAAGAAGGCGCACATCTTTATTAGGGTTCCTGAGAAAGAATTCAGATGCAAGATGCAAGGCTAGAGGGAGATACTGTTGCTTTTCATCTTCTGAATCCTGATCCATATCCATAAAAGTTTTCACTACCATCTGTAAAAGAGGATTAAAAAAAAAAAAAAATCAACCCATGATACTTAGTAACCAGTAAGAGATGCCCCTCCTCCCCGTATTTTTATGTCTTGGAAAAGGGAGCTGGTGATACGCAGGTCAGTGGTAGAGCACAAGGTCTTGAGTTCATTCCTAACCACCACACAAGCATGCACACCCACACCCTAAAAAAAAAAATAATGGACCAAAATTGTGAAAAGCATACTCAGAAACTTATAAAAAACAAGAATCAACTTATAGATTACTCAGACACTTTATCTGTTTTGCACCACATTTTATTATAAGAACTTAAAAACTTCCATTAGTGATCATATTGAAATATTTATTTATATGATATCTTATTAAGTTGTCAAAGCAGAACCAAACTCCTGGGATTCTCAAGCAGTTAAGACTATAGGTATATTTCAACATGCTTGATTTCATTACTCAAATGTTATATAACTAAAAAGGTTTCTACCCCATATATACAACTGATCAGATATTTAGCATCTTTATATCATTTTCATTTTATAGGTTCCTTAAATCTTCACTTGAAATCCTATTGGCCTTTGTATAATACAAAACCATATTTAAAATGTTTTATATATTTGTACTTCTGATGGAAAGTTTTAATTATAAATAAATAGGTAATGCTGAGTTTGAGGCCAACTACAAAGCTAGTTGGAAGCCAGTTTGAGTTACATAACAAGACTCAATCTTGTTTCTACTTTTAAAGGTACTCATGAAAAAAAACATACTTTTTCATCTACTGATATCTAACAAAAAAAAAAAAAAAACCCTCTCTCCCAATAAAGCACCTAGAAACAACTATGTATTTAATATGAAGTGAATATTGGGAGCACTTGGCTTAAAGCCAAGTAGTTTGCAGCTTGGAATTTCTCAAGAGATTGCACAATGACAAGGATGTTCTCTGAAGCCTTGAATAAGTCTACAGGGTATTTTTCAGTAATAGCTCATATCCAAGTGGCTCTAGCTTGTACTACTGCACGAAAGAAGTGAGGTTCTCTCCATGGCCTCTCTAGGTAGCTAAAAAATAAGCAAATGCTATTACTTCTATAATATTCTCAGAATTACTGAGGTCAGACCTACTCTATGATAGAAAACACTACACAAGGACTATAACTATCTGGACCTACCTACCATACTGAACCACCAGCTAGATTTTATGTCAACTTGACAAAAAGTTCATCTGGAAAGAATACTACTTTTTTTTTCAATTTTTACTTTATTTTTGTGTGTATAAATATTTCACCTATACATGTATCTGTACATGTGTCTCTGGTGCTCTCAAATGCCAGAAGAAGCCATTGAACCCTCTGGAAGTGAAGTTACAGGCGATATGAGTTGTCATGTAGGTGCTGGGAACTGAACCTAGGTTTTCTGCATGAAGAGGCAGAGTTCTTAACCAATGAACCATCTCTCTAACCCAGGAATAAAAATCTTCACCAAAATACACCTCCAAAAGATTGGCCTGTAAGCAAGTCTATAGGGCACTTTCTGGACTGATGTGGAAGCAGCCAGGTCACTGAGGCAGGTGCCATCCCCAGACAGGTGGTCCTGGATAAAATAACAAGGCAGGCTGAGCAAGGCAGGAAGCAGCACTATTCCATGATCTCTACTTCAGTTTCTGCCTTGAGTCCCTGCCCTTCCATCTTTTTGAAGATGAACTATGGACATGGAGTTCTGCATCCAGAATAGCTTCAAGGTTATTGGCTGAGACAATCCAGCTTCAAAAACTACTGCAGCCAGAATTTCAGAAAAGCCTTGCACTATCCTATCACACTAACTGTACAACAGCTAGCTCCCCCAGACAAAAGGAAATGGTCTAGAGATCACAATGCCCACATTTCCAAGAGGTAGAATGGATGGTTTTTGGTCATTTGGTGGGTTATGGATATCTGTCATTGTTTGGGGGAGCAGGGGTAGTTACAAGCTGTTATTGGTTATGGTAAGGAAAAAAGTTGAACAAAGGATCTCATTCTGAAAAGGAAAGAGGGTATAGAGATGATAGGATAAAAGAGCAAATTATTAAATTTACTTTTAAACTTAAAAAGACAAAAAAACAAAAAACAAAAACAAAAAACCTACTAGCCAGGCATTAGTGGCACACACCTTTAATGCCAACATTTGGGTCAATGGCAGATGGATCTCTGTGAAGTCAAGGACAGCCTGGTTTACAGGGCAAGTTCCAGGACAGGCTACAAAGCTACACAGAAAAATCCTGCCTCAAAACAATAAAAACAAGGCAAACAAACAAACAAAAAATCTACTAGTATGGATTTTTGTATATTTAATAAAAATTTAGTTATTTTATTATACTTGTTTCTATTCATATTTAAGGTATTATGCCTATGCAGCTCATTTAAAAACGTAAAGTTTTAGTCCTTGAAAGCTATTTAGGATAATAAAGAAATACAGATTAGTAGTTAGTCATCATAATTTCAAACTTATAGTCATGTTAGGTATGTTTTCAAGATCATACAAAGATATATTAGATAGGTGGTCTTCAAACACTTTAAAGACCTACAGAATGTGGCATTTGAAATGTTTTAATAACCTAAGACTTTTCATGGTGGTGGGACACTTCTGTTTCTGGCAGCACCAATTTACTTCAAAAAAGGATGATGGGCATCAAAGAACCTTCATATGGAGTTTGTTTTCTTTGTGGGAAAACAAACTGCCCTTGCCTCAATTGCTGATAGTATACGGTCCAAACTGGACAAGGAGGACATAAAGGAAAGCAATGCCAAACTTGGCCAAAGCAGGGTAGGACAGTCCTTCAAAAGTCTCGCTTCACATAAAAGTCTGTCTGTAGGCTGAAAATGGATGCCACAACATTGCAGAGGAACCTTGGGTGAGTGTCCAGGCAACCAGCTGTCTTTGTCATTTCATTTGCACACATGTGGTACTGTGTGGTGATATTTTATGATCTAACAAATAAAAGCTTGTGGCTGAAGATCAGGAGTGCAGAGCTAGCCACATTAGTCAGACACAGAGGCCAGGCAGTAGTGGCACACACATACTTTTAATCCCAGCACTCAGGATATGAATCTGTTAGTTCAAGGCCAGCCTGGGCTATCCAAAATTGATCTAGTCTATACAAAATTGATCCAGACTAAAAGAGAAACAGCCAAGCTATGGTGGCTCACACCTTTAATCTCAGCACTAAGGAGGTGGCAACAAGAAGGGGTAAGGTTGGGCAGAGATAGGAATATAAGGCGGGGCAGTCAGTCTGAGGACAGGATTGCTCCTTTGGACTAAGTACTGGTAGAGGTAAGAACTCTATAGAGCTGGTCACTACTCCTCTGATCCTTCAGCTTTTACCCCTAACTCTGATTTTTATTATTAAGACCAAAGAGAATTATTGCTACATGGTACAAAGACATACACGCAGGCAAAACACTTTAAAAAGAATTTTTTAATCTCAAAATTGGAAATATCTGTTCATCAAAAAGTAAATGACAGCAATGGTGATACGTGCCCTTAATTCCAGTGCTCCAGAGGCAGAGGTATTTCTGTGAGTTCATGGCTACCTATTCCATGTGGAGCACTAGCTTCAGACCAGGCTACATAGAAAGACCTTATTACAAAAACAAACAAAAATGGTATACTTTCATATGGTATGCTCATACAAAAGACTGCAACTGGCTATTAAAAAAAGATGACAGAGACAAATACATGTATTAATCATTAAAATGTAAGATGAAGTCTGACACAGAAAACAGACAAGACTAAAGGAGAAAGGGGTAAAGTTCCTGGGGATGACAGATAGTCACGATCATGATGGTGGTAGTGATGCCAAAAACACACACATGCACATACATTTAAATATATTTATACATCAGAGCTTATAAAGTTGTATGTCACCACAGCAATTCTCTGTGGTGAATTTCTTCTATATCACTCAATTAACAATAACTTTTAGAGTTAGTGTAGGTCTCACAAGTTAAAAGGTAGCTCAGCAGTTAAGATCATTTGACTGTTCTTCCATAGGTCCCGAGTTCAATTCCCACCAACCATGTGGTAGCTCACAATCATCTGTAATGGGATCTGATTCCCTTTTCTGGTGCACAGGAAAACAGCACTCATATCTCAAAAAATGAATAAATGTACTTTTTAAAAGGTAAATTTCTTCACCAGACTCCCCTCTGTCACTTCAGATGCCAGCCACAAGTCTTGTGGGAACACAGTATTTCTGGTAATCCAGCTTCAAATCTAGGGTTTCCTATAACTCCTTCGGGTTCAGTAATTTTATAGACGAATAAATGGGTTTTATCTTAAAAGGTGTAACTCAGAGACAGTCAAGCTGAAGGGATATTAAGGCAAGATCTTGCTATAAAGTAAGATTTAAAGATTCTCGGGGACTCTAGGCACTCTTTTCTAGTACAGCAGTGTGCTCACCGACCAGGAAGCTCCTCATAACCTTGGTGTCCAGCTGTATCAGGGCCCTCTGAATGGGTGAGATGCTTACTTAATCTCTAGCCTCCCTGGTCCTCTTGGTAGGTCAGGAGGTTGAAAGTTCCAGCCCTTGTATCACGTGCTTGGCCTTTCCCTCACACTATCAAAAGCTGACTCATTTGCAGCTCAGAAACAAGAACAAAGACTAAACAGCATCAAAATGTTCTATTTATTATATTTTAATTATACCTTAATAAACTCAGTCTTACAAACTAGGAATGGTAGTATACATTGGTAATCCATATTTCAGAAGCTAAGACTCAAGAGCATCATGAGTTCAAGACCAGCATGAACTCAAGCAAAATGTAAACAAGAACTCTTGTCAATCCGCTCAGGGAGATTTTGTTAAGTCCAAAGAAAATTCGGACTTTGCTGTTGACTTGGAGAACCCACTTCGGTGTTTTCAATTAAATATATCTACATGTCCACCTACGTCTGAACCCTAAAGCAGCTTAACTACTTCTAATAGAATATTCACAAGGATGGCCACAGAAACAATGGAAAAGAAAAGATAAAAGATGTAA